GTAGATGTACAAGGAAGTATAGAGCTATTTATATAAGACAAGAACTAATCCTACCCATAGATTTCAAACACCTAAAACTAAGGCTAAGAGAGATCCTCTCAACTAACCTTCCATCTCTTCTTTCCCATTAGACATTCATACAGTATATGCAGGCTGTTGGGGTTTGGGAGTGGTGAACTAACCTCCCATCTCTTCTTTCCCATTAGCCATACTGGCAGTTAAAGAACATATAAAAGCAACTATAGGTCTATAGCAATTGCCTTCTGTATGATGACTCTAATTGGAAGAAACTATGTATAGTCGTCAGAATTTAATCCATTTTTATGTGTAAATTCATATACTTTCTTTATTTGCTGTGAGGTTGTGTCAGAAGTGAAACACTGACAGTAGTTCTTACATTGTTGTTATTTATGTCTTGCAGTTCGGACTGCATTGGTTGCACTGATTGCATTCATGCCAACCAACCCAAATGGTGCCCTTGGATCATTGGACTACACCAAGGAAGAAAGGCGTGCTCTAGCAATAAAATCTCGTGAGGCTGCTCCGAAATTTGGGAACCCTGAACGCCAAAAGCTGATAGATGAGGTTTGTCCTGCCCCAACTCCCAACTTACACAACTAATTTATCACAACTGATTCTAGTGCCTACAATTTACTCATTGTGCAGATACATGAGTACATGCAAAGCAAGGCACCCCCGGTTCCTCAAGCTAGCCCAGCATCCCCCGAAGAACAGACTACAAACAAAGATGGTGATGCCCAGGAAACTACTCAAAACACTAGCGCAGAGTCTTCTGAGGTAAGGCATTCGGATCAATCCGCTGCTGACGGGATTGTAGAAGAACAAGTTGAAGCCCGTCCACTGGTTGCGCATCCTGCGCAGACCTCAAGAGAGGTTCCCCCTGTACATCTGCATGAGCAGCGGGTGTTTCGGAACCCCGAACAAAGGGTGGTCCCCAGCTTGCCCGAACAAAGGGTGGTCCCCAGACAAGCTGATGACCGCATATTCACCTGGGCAGCTGTTGGACTTTCCATTGCCATAATTGTTCTTCTGTTGAAGAAGTTCATGAAAGCAAATGGTCATGGGGCTGTCTTCATGGACGAGTCTTAAGTCGAAGTTATGGTAAAATACATGGTTATTAGCATTTGCCATCCCAGCAAATGCGGAAATATGTAATGTAATTATCAGGTATTTTGTGGTTTCGCCCCCATAGTAGCATAAATAACATAGATATTTATCTATATGTAAGGCATTATTCTTCATTTTGATATCCCCCCCCCCCCCCCCCCCCCCCCTCCTCTTTTAGTAGCAGCATATCATCAATAATATGGATATGCTATTTGTAAGAAAGATTCATCATTTTGATGTCTAGACATTTAAGTATTTATTGTATAGGCAATGATAATGAACTTCTCATGTGGAAATTGTCGTTTTGGATGTGTATGATTTTCCTGCCCTCTATCTTTTGCATGATTTAGAATGTGTTAGGCCATTATTGTGTTTCCAAGTCCAACTAGTCTGTCTTCAGATCACTTGATACATTTTGTTTCATTCATTGAATTCTAACCTCTTTCTTCCTTTTTTTTTTTTGGCTGAATTTAGTAGTTGTGCTCAGGATGGAAAAACTGGGAATACAAAGATCTGTTTGCTTCTAAATATTTTTTTTTTTTACTATTTTATTTTATTTAGATAATGCCCCTCATTATGTATTCGTGACTTGACTTTTCTCTAATTAGTATCACAAGTGTCGGTTTAAAAAAAATGTGCACATAATTACTATAATGGGCTATAAGATTTGGATCAATCTATAGCTTTCCATTATTTACTACTAGCAAATAACATTATATTAACATGTGTAACGGATTCATTGAACTAATAATGTTTGTGTTCATGTTTATAACTCTATATAAACACATTAATCTTAGGGTCTGTTTGGAAAGCAGGAAAATGACTTCTGAAAAATGGTTTCTGGAAAATGAGTCATTTTCCAGAAAACATTTTCCTTTTCCAGTGTTTGGTTGCATTTGGAAAACTGTTTTGGTGTGTTTGGTTCATTTTCTGAAAAATGAGTAGAATAGTATAATTAAATATTTTATTTTGAATTAAAAATTCATTTTATATTTTTAAAACAAAAAAAAAAAAAAAAAAAAAATTGGCTTCCGGCGAACCCAGTTGGGTTCCGCCAGATTTTTTTTTTTTTTTTTTAAAAATAATAATAATAACGAAAGAGAAAGGCGGAAAACGACTTCCGCCCAAATTTGGCGGAAGTCATTTTCCGCCAAATTGGGCTCATTTTCCCCAGTCAACGGAAAATGTTTTCCGTTGACTGGATTTTCCAGGTGTAGCCAAACACCAAAAACTCGGAAAATGACTTCCAGAAGTCATTTTCCGGGTTTCCAAACATAGCCTTAATGGATTGCCTCTATTTTAACTTTATCGTGTTTGTGACGTTATTGTGTTAACTCAACCCAACTAATTTGACTGGGGTTGTCCCACTATTACAAGTTTATTAAGTAACTATAATAGGTCCATGTCTAAAATCTTGATGGGTGTAAATGTTAAATTTACTTTACGATATGATGTGGTCAATTGAGTTTACATTCGAGAAGCAATTCCAAGTGAACCCATATTTGCACTTAAGGGCGAATCCACTTTCATGCAACTTACACAAGTTAAAGAAAGTTGAGAAAGTAGCAATAAACAGATACTACATTGTAACAGAGTCAATAGAATTTTTTTTTTTTTTTTTTATATCATTAAGAAGGGGGAAACCAAACAATGTAACAGAGTCAATAGAAAGTTTTTTTTTTATATCATTAAGAAGGGGGAAACCCAAACAAGACAAAACGAATTACTGTATATTGTACATGAAGCGCCATGACGGGAAACCAGCAATGTCATCTTCAAGAAAATTCAAAATATCTTCCGGTGGTGAAGCCAAAATGTGAACTCCAGGGGGAAGTTCCTGGAGAAGAACGCTAGACGATCGCGACATAGTTCTGCTCTCTGGCGATTGCCGTAGCCTGCCAGTTCTCAAGACGTCGGAGTTCTTTTTCGCAAGCTTCAAGGATGTTGTGAGCCACGGTGCGTGGAGGACTGTTCCCTTTGATGTAATTAATAGCGTTCGTGGAGTCGCTTTCAATGATCAGATTGTTGCATCCCTTGAATACTGCTAGTTGAATACCTTTTATTATGGCCCATGATTCTGCTTCGAAAGGGGTGCAGTTGCCTATGTTGAAAGCGAATCCATGATGCCAATTTCCGAAGCTATCTCGGATTAATCCGCCGCAACTAGCCTTGATTGAATTCCCTGTGACCGAGCCATCAACATTCAATTTGAAGAAGTTGGCCTGTGGTTTATCCTAGCATAGCTGGTTCCAGGATGGTGAAGTCTGTGTATTCAATCTCCCTGATGCTTTAGCGAATGCATTGTCTATCTCTTCGACCTGTGCTTTGATCCATAATATCTTGAAGCCTAGGGGTTTGAGTGTGTTAATGAATACTGCCTCATTTCGCCATTTCCAGATCCACCACAGTGTCACGGCGAATAGCAAACTTGCTTTGAGGGGTCTTCTTCCATCGCCTTTATTCAAAGAGTCAATAGAAAGTTAGTTCTTCCTCTTATATATATATATATATATATATATATGAAGAAGTTGATGAGGTTATAAGGTAGCTCTACTAACATAATAATCTAGATACAATAGCAACATGCTGACAAACTATTGTAATTATAACTTTAGCTTCTTTTTTAATGTTGATTCTTTGTGTTTAATTTTAATAGGTTGAGAAAATATGTTTGAACAGATACTACAATGTAATAGAGTCAGTTGCATTAAAAGAAATGTCCTTTAAAATGCTATTTCTTGCAATCTCTCTTCTTAATTTAAAATTGTGGTACAACGCATATCTTTCGCTGCTGTATTAATGAAATTGGTGAAATAAATCAAAATATGAATTTTTGTTAAAGAAATAAATCTTATTAGAATTATGGGGCGCAATCTCGTGTGAATAGCCGTCCAGGTGTGAAATGTAAACCAATCAGCGCGCGCTACGTGTCAACATTAATTGATCGGGTGCACCTACTTTCACCTACAAGTGCATATACTTTCATCTACAAGTGCATGTAATTCTATCTCTACTTTCACCTACAAGTGCATGTAATTTTGCCTTGTTAACATTTATTGATCATGTACACCTAGTTATTACTATATGTGCACCTAGATCTGGACACGTGCTGGTTGGTTCGTATATTCACTCCTGGACGCGTCATTCACACCAGAACACGACTCTTAGAGCTATTCATTCAGTACAATTTTGATACATCCATATTAGTTGTTACCTGATTGGGTTAATGGGTCTTAGTAATTAATAGTATTAACTGATTGTAGAAAGATGTTTGCTAAATTAGCTTATAGTTGATTACATGCAAAATGACTTTTTTAAAAAGCTATTTTGAGTCCTTTTTAAATTTTAACATTTTGGAGTAATAAGTTTGATAAAAAAAAAACTAATTAATCAAATAATAATGTTTAACTAAGTCAAACAATTAATACTGGTCAAATAAATCAAAATTGACTGATAAACTAACTATGTTACCAAATATGACTATAAAATGAAACAATGTTTTATAAATACAAAATGATGGATTTTGAATAAATGAATCGTTTTTCTTTCATGTTAATTCAACAAATATTACATATATATTAACTTATAATAGAGCTAGACAACTAGTTAATCAATTTATGAATTACTCTAATCACATTTCAAGACTTCCACCAAACACACATGTTAGATAAATTGTAATAATGGTAGATTTTGTCTTTATATTACTACTATTTCTTGTTTAAACATACATTCCTTGCCCACCATAATACACAAAAAAGATACGTACTCTCATCATCTCATGGTTGCCTATATCATCCATTGATATAAAATTATAACTATATATTAGTCTTATATACAAAATTAAAATACAAGTTTAATTTGATTGTCTCTAAAGTTTTAAAAAGAAAATGAAAAATGAGTTAGATAAAAGTATAGTATTTAACCGTTCAATGTTTGAAATTGTAAAAATTAAAAGAGAGATTAGATTTATAATCTGGATAAAAAATGTGATTTTCCCAGAAAATGAATTTAATTTGTAGGATGAATTAGTGCCCCAAAAAAGAGGGAAAATTGTAATATGCATCATATCATATATGATATCAATGCATCTGGGGGATAATGAGTAGGCAGTTGCTAGTCATGGTAGCCAGCTTGTCTGCAAGGTTTATCAATGGCGAACCCGACCCGGAGAGCTTATCACTGCAGTCGCTCATATCAGTTATGACGGCACTGAGCATGGAATTCATGGTCCCTACGTCCTTCTTCTTGAACGCCTTACGCGCGAGGTCGAAATTGTCCATCGCATCTCTAAATTTCCCCTTGCACTCCTTGACGCCCAGCTTCTTAGCCTTCGCGGCTCCCGTTTTCGCCAGATCGCGGCTCGCTTTGATGGAGATGTCAAGGGCGGCGCGTGCATTGGCTCCGCCGCTTTTCAGCCGCGGGGCCACGGTGGACACGCAGAGGCTAGGGTTTTCCGTCGTGCTGCATATTTTCCTCAGCTCACGATCTGCGCTGCCGCCGGCCGACTTGCCTTTGGGGACGGGACGCTTTGCAGTTCCGCCGCCGTCGTCGTCGTCCGTCGTGGCTTTGTTGACGGAATGAATGACGGATCTGGAGATTTGAGTCTCGGAAATCCCATCGCTGTTCTCTGTGGTTGCGGAGATGGACTGAAGGGATCGCTGATTATCTGTGTCGCCATATGAAGAGATGAAAAAATCAGTTTTCGAATCGTAGGAGAAATCTGGTTTCGAATCGTATGAGAAATAGATCGAAGAACTGGAAGGGTTATCTGGAGAAGAACCTGATTGCGAGGTTGCGGAAGAATCGGAAGTCAGGTATATACGAAAACCATGCACGGCCGGATCCGGGTTGCAGACAATGGAGAAGAAGGTGACGATGAAGATGAAGATTATCCTTTGGAAAATGAGAGATTCTTCCATGTTGAAATATTGGGAATGTGTAAATGAAAGGAAAGTGAAATATAATTTTTGCAGTGAAAATAGGAAGATGAGAAGGGGTAAGAGATACCATTCAAACAGGTTGCACATATTGAAAACAGGATAACCGATCATATTACAAAACTTGAGTGCCCTTTTTCATATGAGTATTCAAATCTCTAAAAAAAAATCCTTCTTAATTTCTCATTCTATATGACACTATTTAATTTGCACCCAATGATTATAAGCCACTTCATACCATAATTTAGGAGAGAAAGTATGAGGCTAACATATTTAGGAGAGAGTATGAGGCTAACATTATTATCTATAGGAATAAGGTCTAAATTGGCCACGGAAGGTAACCTGAAAATTTAATTATGTCACCGAACGAAAAAAGAAGAAGAAGTGCAATTAGGCCACTGAACATCTCAAATGCATGCAATTTCACCTAATAACAAGTTACCACTAATTTCATCAGATTGCCTGCTTTACATGGATGGTGAGTTGACATTCTTAATAATAAACTTTAAAATTAAAAATAAAAACTTAAAAACTTAAAAAAATTAAAAATAAAAAATATCGGGGTGGCCGCTGGCCAGCCCCTTCCCCGCTCCCCTCCTCCTTCGTCTCCGATTGAAGACGAAGACAGGTCATTCGTCTCCGGCAGACGTTTTTTTTTTAAAAAGTTTATTATTATAAATTATTAAAAATGTCAACTCACTATCCACGTAAGCATGCAACCTGCTAGCATGTGAAATTGCATACATCTGGAGTGTTCTGTGGCTTAATTACACTTTTTTTCGTTCCTAATTGCATTTCCAGTACGTTTAGTAGTCAATTTGAACGTTATTCCTTATCTATCTATATCTATATAATAATAATAATAATAATACTATACTCTTTCACTCTCAAAAGTAATTGTGCTCACGTATTATCAAATTTGCAATTCACTCAGTATTTTCTCAACATCATTACAATTCGCATTGAAGAATTATTATATTTCCCCAATAATTCTCTTTACAATTATTCTTTTATAACAAATGTTAAAAAATAACAAAAATAAAATTTCAAAATACGTAAGATTATTTTTTAAAATTTTAAAAAATAATAATTAGTATTTCGTATATAATCCCGAAAAGAAATTATATCATGTAAAATTTTGAAATAAAACAATTCCTAACAATTCGAATTGTAAAACTAAAACATAATTAAATGATAAAAATTCAAAGCAATTGAAATCATTAAAAAGAAATTACAAATTTAAGTACATAAATTACATAAATATTCAAATACATTTAATTATTTATTTCCTCTCTATCAAACCAATTTCATTTACCTTCAATCAAGTATTCTTGTAATTGATGATTTATTGGTCTATTACAAATTCTTGCATGATTTCAAATATACTCTTCATTTCGAATGAAGTGGTCTTGTGTATTTTTAAGCTAAGTATCGATACATTAAAATTTTCTTTTCATTTCGTATAATCAAAATCACCTTCATATGAATCTCATAATCCTTTACATGCAATTGCATTATTAATGAGGCAGTGTAAGAAATGATAGCAAGTCATGCTTGAAGCACTACTCAAAATGCTCTTTCTATGTCTTTTCTTATACCTCCTTATTTATTTGCAAATAATCTATGTTTTGCACTTTGAAGTAACATGATTGACTTCACAAAGGTTGCCCAACTTAAATATATTCCATCTAGCGGAACAGTCTAAAACATTAATATCGTTTAATCTACCTACAAAACTAAAGAAAACATGTCATATCCCCAAATCGCAACAACTTCAAGTATAATAATTGGACACTCGTGATCTCTTTTAACACATTGACCACCCTAACATACTTGGGAACCCCTTTGTTCTCCAATTTAGCCATTATATATCTACAACATTCAGCCTTCTCAAATACTCTTCTCCAAACACATCATTTATGGAAATCTCTTCATACATATTGTTAATATGTTATAGACTTATAATAATCTCACCCATTTGTAGATACCCATCAACGACATTTGCAAAAATCCTATACACTAACATACGCATTATTATCTGATGACACCACTATTGTCGTTCCAGACAAAAGGTCTATGTACACTTCTATCGATGAAGTCTATAGTATTTTGAAAATATTCCTCGTCTCGTAAATATAAATACCGCAGTAAAAAAAAAAAAAAGAAGCAACAATTTATCAACCAAATGAAGAGGTACTAGAGGAAGAACTTCAAAAGTTTTATTCAAGGAGCAACGTATTGTAGCATACAAAAAATACACAAGACTGGTTGACAAACTCCATACATACTCAACAAACATAACTGAAGATCCAACCTGAAGTTCAACCAACAAGAGCCAAGAGATAATTTATATAGTACTTCAAAGTACTACATTTATATTGTCAAGAATCTTAACCTATAGACTGGCCTGAACAATTTGATCTTCCCAGCATTATTAATTATCAGAGACCTTAACAACCGTAACAGGGCAGTCAGCATTATTCACCACATGGTTACTGACGCTTCCCATTAAAGCCCTGCAAACACAAAGTAGAACAAAAACCAGTGAACTTTTTTCTATCATATGCAGAATGTTGAACATTTGTAGCCCTGTCATTGCATCATGAACTTTGGCAAACTTAAATTTAGAATATACAACCATTCTCAATCGAGAAACCGTCTAATGGGGAGATATAAGCTAGTCAAGCGTGCATCGTGAATACAGTAACTGACTGTGGGATTAGAAGATAGTTATATGCCAAACGTGCATTGTAGATATAGTAAAAAGCCATTACTTTTGCAACAGGAATCACATGGGTGTTGGAAAGGTAATAGAACTGTTAACAAACCTCTTGAGTGTGCCAAGCCCTCTATTCCCAATAACAAGACAGCTCAGAGGAGTTTTATCAACTGCTTCGCATAGTTTCTCACGGGGATCACCCCAAAATATTTTCATCACAACCATAATCTGTTTTTATAGGCGACGGTATAGTTAGAATAGCTTCATGGACAAGACTAATATCATGAAATTGAAGAATAAAATTACCCCTTTCTGCCTAACTGCAGTGGAAACAATATCCAACGTTTCTGCATCAGGCTTGACTCCATATTTGTTCATAGTATGTGGGTCAACCACTTCAGCAAGAGGAATCATAGCTGAAAATTTGAGAAAAATGAATAAAGAGATAACTAAAAGCCAGTGAAAGGGATATGCCGGACTATCATGATTTATGACCAGTAAATCCTCATTGTATTTCCAAGGGGTAAAATACATAATCGCATATAATGCATTCAATCACAAAATTCTACCATCCTTTGTGTTGATAGTATGCATTGAGATTGAATAACAAATAGCAGATATAGTAGCAAAACTGAGATGCTGCAATCCGGAAACACTCCCTGAAATCAAATCAATATATGCCTTAAAAGATACGTAGTAACATTTATTTATATCAGGCATTATGATCCATCCCCTAAAATTTGTAAATGCACCAATAAAGTGCCAGCGAAATCCCTCCCCACACACGGCCCCGACAAACCACAATGACTTAGGGGCCATTATGTGAGAGGACTAGGTGAGTAGGTGTCCACACAAGAAGCCAACCCCACAAGAAAGTGAAACTCTCACATTGCAGCTGCCCGGCTCGATCAGTGTGCTTGCCCACAATTTGCCACACAGAAACCAATTGAGCTACCGTGCTGGCTTGAACAAGGGGAAAACATTACAGATGAAATCCCATCCCAGATCCCCATAAGAATCCAAGAATCACAATAAAATGTAAACTACATAGACTATTTCCAGACCATCCATTCAATGGCCAGTAGGCAACCAAAGAGTAAATGGTGTAGCCTAGGGACTCACTTGGCCTCTGACTCTCTGAGATCAGAAGCTTCCTATACTAACAGATGACTTTTTTCCAATTTCCTATGGGATCATTTGAAGAATTTAACCTATTGAATTGAACAGGAGACCTAAGAGTTTCACAAAATCACAGATCACAACGAACTTATGAACAGTTGAATATATAAATAATATAAGACACTCCATCAAATAATTAAATAATTCAAAGGAACATATATATACACAAATATAGTGAGAGAAACAGTAAAATAGAGAGAGAGAGCGAGAGAGAGAGAGGATCATACGAGAACCGGTGGCCTCCCAAAGCTGCATCTCGCCTTCCTCGTAATGACCTTCAGGTTGTACAGTAACGAGAACGAGGTTATCTCCTTTCCGGAGTAAGTTATCGATCGCCCATTTCAGAGCCTTCCTGCTGCATGCTGAGAAATCCACTGCCACACCGACTATCCTTCCATCTGCTGCTGCTGCTTCCATCTCTCACTGCAACTGTGCTCCCCTGTGATTCGTTCTGATCGTTTCGGTGAATGGATCGGAGTGAAAAATATCAGAGCAGAAGAAGAGAAACGAGAGCCGCTTGTAGTGCAGAGAAGTCACTGATGTAGGAGAAATTATCGTGTGTTCCGCCGCATACCCGGTCAATCGGATCATCTATGGTGCATAGGTGGTTTGGAGGTCGAAAGGCACTGATAACGGTTGATATTTTTCTGGGTTTACTTTCCTTTTTTCACTTAAATTATTTGTAAGAAAATATTTGTTCTCTTCCTAAATATTCTTTTCCAATTTTTTTATGGTGAGGTTCATGAATTCACTGACACCACCTACTCGAATAATTATTATTGCATAGACCATGGTTTAAAAACAACATCGTTTCCTTAAGTTGTTAGGTTGCTCAATTTTTTTCTTAGGCGACCTGCATTTTTTTGTTTTCCCTTTTCATTTAGAGTGTGTTTGAAAAAATAGAAAAATGACTTTTGGAAAATATTTTATGGAAAATGAGTCATGTTTATCAAACATTTTCATTTTCAGTGTTTGGTTGCATTCCATAAATTTGTCTTCATGTGTTGGTTCATTTTTTAAAAAATGGACATATTTCTATAATTAAAAATTTTAATTGTTCTATTTAGAATATAACAACATTTATAATTTATTTATAATAATAATAATAATACAAATGGTGGTAGTGTGGTGGCAGTGGTTGCAGTGATGGTGGTGGTGGTGGTAGTGATGGTTGCGATGGTGATGGTGGTTGTGTGGCGGCGGTGGTAGTATGGTAATGGTGGTGTTGGTGTAGAGATTGGAATATATTTCCCCAAAAAAGATGGGAAATCATTTTCTAAGAAAATGATGGTGTTTTCTTTTGACCAAACAATCATTTTCTTTTGACTCACATTTTTCATTATTTACCAAACAATTAGAAACCCGTGAGTTTCATAACTCTTTCGAGTTTCTAAATATACCCTTAAATTTGTAACAAATTATTTTTTCTTTTCTTAAATTTTATTTTCCAATTCTAATAATGAATGTAATGTCAAAAAGAGAAAGTATGACAAATTAGTAGGACAATTTTTGCCCTCACAAAACTTTATTATTATTATGAGAAAACGGCGCTTTTGACAACTCAATTGTTTTACTTTTAGAAATTTAGCCCCTATCAATTGATTTGAGCAAATATAACCCTTTAACTGTTCATAATGTAGCACATTTGGTCCCTCATGTTATATAATTAGAATTGTTTTTAATAATTTATATAATTTATTTATTTAAAATTAAAAATATTTTATTATTATAAATAAATACATAATATAAACAATTCCTTATTAAAAAAAAAAAAAACAGCCACCAGCTGTCCGCGCCGGACAGCCGGCGGCTGTCTTCTTCACGGACAGCTGTGACTGTCTGACAGGACGGCCATGGCCATCTTCTAGATTTGGAACGAGGCCGGGTTACGGCCTTCGTCGCCGCCCTCGTTCCATGGCCGTCTCCGTGAAGAAGACAGTCATCGGCTGTTCGGCGAGGACAGCCGGTGGCTGTTCTTTTTTTTTTTTTTTTTTTTTTTTTTTTTTTTTTTTAATTTATGTATTTATTTATAATAAAAAAATATTTTAACTTTTGAATAAATAAATTATATAAATTATTAAAAACAATTCTAATTATATAATATAAGAGACCAAATATACCACATTATGAACAATTAAAGGGTTAGATTTGTTCAAATCAATTGATAGGGGCTAAATTTTCAAAAGTAAAACAATTGAGGGACCAAAAGTACCGTTTTCCCTATTATTATTAGTATTGGTAGTATTCAAAACTCAACCAAACAATGAAATTAATATCCAAATAATTTCTTTCACACCAACTAAACAATGTAATTAATTATCTTCATAGTAACTTTTTTTTTTTGAAAACCAAAAACTTCATATATTGCATTAACTTATGTCAGAAGGAATAAAAGGAGGAAGAGACTCCCTCCAGACCGAACGTGCTTGAACCACACCTACATGTTTAGCTAAGGCATGAGCGACCAATTTGGTGCCTCTGCGTACAAACTTGATGGAACAAGCAGAAAAAAAATTAAATAAACGTAAACAGGAATCTAAAGCAATGCCAAGATACGAACGATAGGAACTAGCATCCCGAAAGCTAGCAACGAGAACCGCACAGTCCGATAAAATAATAACGTTGTGATAATTGTGATCCTGTAGCCATGAAAGAGCCTCACGTATCGCCATGGCCTCGGCTAAGAGAGGATCATACGGACAAGAGAGGGGACCATTAGCCGCTGCAACAAAAACGCCATCCAAGCTGTGCACATAGAAGCCGAAAGTCAGGGAGTGTTGTGAGCCATAGAAGCCGGCGTCTGTACTGCAAATTACCGTATCCTGAGGCAGCGGCATAGCAGACTGTTCGTACATGGCAAGCTGCAAGGTGGCAGGTGGCTGTGACAAGGCAATACGGCAGTGAGAGGCGTTCGAAGTCCAGCCGGCCCAGGTGTGTTGAAACGAAGCACATAGATGCAACGGGGATGGTAATGCAAGGTCCCAAACAGCCATGTTCCGAGCCCTCCATATTTCGTAGAGTATTCCACAAATTTGATCTTTTAGATAACCAGCAGATGTTGCTGAGTTTCCCAACCAAAGCTCCACCCACTGCATAAAATCATGATCATCAAAGTTAGGGATTTAGAGTTGTGCAATATTCCACACACGTCTTGCATAAACACATCTTCATAGTAACTTATTTTCTTTGGAATTTCAATTTCATTTATCCTCAAATATTTTTTTCATGAATAAAACGGGCCATAATAGTCTTCCATAAAAGAAAATGGAGTTATTTGTCGTTACATCCTCAATGTCCTGATCTGTCCATAATAATCAACGTGTCATTTACTAAGTTAATACGTCTAAAGTCTCACCTGGGTAGACCCCTTCCTTTACATAAAAAAAAAAAAGTTAATACGTCTAAATCCTTTATTCTAGCAAAGAAGAAAGTCTGGATTGTTTATTTACGCTGTTGTTCCCATTTTACCAAAAACGTTCATAAGACTTGAAATGTATGAGTAAAATTTTAAATATATAAAGGCATTTCATTAATGTTAAATTATTTAATTAATACACAACTTTGAAATATAATTACATTAAATCAATTATCATTAATTCAATACCTATAAAATAGGATATAGGAAATACTTCAATAACTAATGAATTTTTAAAAATTTTATAAATGTACAAATTAAAATAGATGTCTTGGAATATAAATAACATGATGGACATCATACTTTAATAAATTATTATTATTATTATTATTTATTACATAATAATAATAACAATAATAATAATAATAATAATAATAATAATAATCACCGTCTTCTTCCAAAAGATGACATCGTAATTCGTAAATCTGTCATAGATTCCCCATAATATGAAGGTCAAAAAATAATTTGTGACTGAATTCAGCAGCCAAGAATTAGTACACAATTAACTAATTAAGGTTGTTTTAGATAGTGAGATTTTACGATTTGTACGGAACGTCGCTAAATAATAAAAGAAAAATAAAATAAGATTAGAGAATAGAGGAAAGAGCTGAGCTTGAATCAAGGAAGAGGAGAAAACCAAAGCCACAAAAATGGCTTCGAAAATTGGAAGAAACAACTTATAAAAGCTCTGAGAAGCCATGGCGAAGATGGCAAGCTCTGATAAGAGCAATAATATTTAGGAGAAGAGTAGCCCCTCTTCCTCTTCTTCTTCTTATCCAATTCATTCAAAAAAAAAAAAAAAAAAAAAAAAAAAAAAACGCCAAAAAAATAAAATAAAATTCGGGGTAGCCATGGATAGAGCTAGCACAATAATGCTGGTGGCCTTTCTACTTTGCCTCTCCACCACCGTGAGGGCGGAGGACCCTTATCTATTCTACACTTGGAAGGTGACCTATGGCACCATTTCACCCATGGGTGTACCTCAACAAGTCATTCTCATCAACGGCCAATTCCCAGGTCCTAAGATCAATTGCACCTCCAACAACAACGTTATTGTTAACGTTTTCAACGAGCTAGATGAGCCATTATTGTTCACTTGGAGTGGCATCCAGCAAAGGAAGAATTCATGGGTTGATGGCACTCCCGGGACCATGTGCCCTATCCTGCCTGGCACTAACTTTACCTATAAGTTCCAGGTGAAAGACCAGATCGGAAGCTATTTTTATTTCCCAACCACTAGTCTACAACGTGCCGTGGGCGGCTATGGCCCAATCAATGTCCATAGCCGTGAACTCATCCCTGTCCCATTCGATAGACCCGCTGAGGAATTCAATGTTTTTGTGAGTGATTGGTATAAGAAAGGCTACAAGACATTGAAGAAGATTCTTGATAATGGTCAGACCATTGCTAGGCCTGATGGGTTGGTGATGAATGGGAAGAATGGGAAGGTGGGAGAGAATAAACTTAACCCACTTTTCACCATGGAACCAAGCAAGACTTATAGGTATAGAGTTTGCAATGTGGGGTTGAGAACTTCGGTTAATTTTAGATTCCAAGGACATTCAATGACGTTGGTAGAAATAGAGGGTTCACATACTGTTCAAAATGTATACGATTCCCTTGATCTCCACGTTGGGCAGTGCCTATCGGTTCTTGTGACGGCTAACAAGGAGGCTAAGGACTATTACTTAGTCGCCACCAGCAGATTCTTCAAGCAAGAATTCTCCACCGTAGCTCTTATCCGCAACGGCAACGGCAACGGGGGTCCCGCGACCCCGGAGCTTCCACCACCCCCGCCGGTAAACACCGAGGGCATCGCTTGGTCCATCAACCAATTCCGCTCCTTCCGGTGGAACCTCACCGCCAGCGCCGCCCGCCCCAACCCGCAAGGCTCATACCACTACGGCCAAATCAACATCACCCGCACCTTCAAGCTCGTTAACTCCAAGACCCAAGCAAACGGAAAGCTCCGATACGCAATCAACGGCGTCTCCCACACCGACCCCGACACCCCATTAAAGCTCGCCGAGTACTTCGAAATCCCCGGGAAAGTATTCAAGTACGACATCATGGGCGACAACCCTCCCGACAATCTTGAAAATCCGGCGACTCTAGCCCCCAATGTCGTCAACGCCACATTCCGCAACTTCGTCGAGATCATATTCGAAAACCACGAAAAGACCATCCAAACCTACCACCTCGACGGCCACTCATTCTTTGCGGTGGGAATCGAGCCAGGAAAATGGAGCCCAGAGAAGAGAAAGAACTACAACTTGGTGGACGCTATAAGCAGGCACACCATTCAAGTTTACCCCAACTCCTGGGCGGCTATCATGACCACTCTGGATAATGCCGGAATGTGGAACCTAAGATCGGAAATGTGGGCAAGAACATACTTGGGACAACAAATGTACTTCAGTGTTCTTTCTCCGGAACGTTCGCTGAGGGATGAACACAATATTCCAGATAACCAGCTTCTCTGTGGCTTGGTCAAGGGCATGTCTGTGCCTCATCCGTACACCATTTAAAGGGCTGGGTTAATTGGTTAAAATGCTTTGAAGAATATATATATAGTGTTGTAGAGATGGAGGGGTGGGTGGAATTCTAGAGCATGACTCTAGTCTTTTCAATTTGGCGTTAATATGAATGAATGAAATAAATGGAAAAGAAGAAGGTTTGGTTTCCTTAATATATTGATGTTGCTTGTGTTAAATGGATGTATATATGATGCGTTTAGTAATGGGATAAACTAATGATACATTTACTAATTGAAGAAACTAATGGTGATGCATTTAATATAATTGAAGGAAAAATGGAATACATTTACTTTACATTATGATGAATTTCTTTATTTTAATTTGAAGGGTCCATTTACTAAAAGAGTTATAGTATTTTACTTGATATTGGGGTTAAAAAAAATTGAATCACATGAAATCAAACTCGCTTTCACTACTATAAAAAATCGTTTTAACATCAGTCATTTTTTACCTACAATGATTTTTAAAACTGACGTCATATGCCATTTAAAAAAAAAAAAAAAAAAAAAGAGATGTGGAATAATTTTAGTTCAGAAAAAAAATGAAAAAAAAGTAACTTTTTGCATAATACATACTATAATAAAATTTGTATTTTTATTTAATTTTTTTTTTGAATATACGACTAAAAAACCAATATACCACATCGGTTGTTGAAAAATAACAAAAATCGTAATTATTAACGACATCAATTGTTTTAAAAAAGACTTAAATTATTTTTAAAATTATTATTTATTTTAATATTTTAATGACGATTTTTATGAAAATCGATGTAATAGATTCCACATTTCACTGTTGAAAATTATGGAATTTCTGACCACTTGAAAGTGTGGAATTTCTAACCACTTAAAGATCTTAAATCAAGTTGAAAGCTGAAAATTATGGAATTTCTGACCACTTGAAAGTGTGAAATTTCTAACCACTTAAAGTGATCTTAAATCAAGTTGAAAGCAAAAAGTGGCTGGATCAAGTGTTTTGGCTACCTTTAATCTACACTTTATTACGGAGTACAAAATAAGAACTTTTAACAAATTAAAGTTTAATATCACCTACTCGAAACTTTTGCCACGGAAATATATCAAACTTGTAGTAAATACTACTACACTTTCTTAAACCAATCAATATAATTAATGATTTTTATCGCACAGTAAAATTTTCATTGTTGTGACAATTGGTAGCAAATGTGCCGAAGGTTAAAAGAATTCGTGCAAATTACACAACGAATAACATGTTTCGATGCTGTTTTCAAACAAACAAAAAGAAAAAAAAAAAACATGTTTCTATGCTAATTTTTATTTATAATTTTCGAGCTTAAAAGATGGTGTAAATTTTTGCCTAAACTTTTAATAAGTTTATTCATTTTTATCATACACCTACAAAATTTTTAGTTGAGACCTATGTATAGATTAAATAAAAGGAATATGAGATATACTTATGGAGTGTAGATGAGTCTCGAGTTCCAATCTTAAAAATGTAGTTAATTGGAACATGGCCTGGACTATATACTTACTCATGGAGTGAGGAAATTGAATTCAAATTAAACCTTAAGAATATAACTACTTTAAAATTTCGACACCAACATAATTAATTTCAATTTGACTTTTGATAGTTGCATAATAAGGTGTTGCATGACTTTCTATGGAATAGAGGCATATTTTTGGTACGTTAATGATTAGTGGTTGCAGCAGTGGGTGTTGTGAGAGATGATCGGGTGAATGGCTTGGGGGTTTTAGGTATGTGTTTGGGATTACAACGGAGTTTCTAATTTCTATTATGGGTTTGTCATGTGTATGCATAGAGAGACGAATATATGTGTTGACTGTATGACGTCTAGTCTTGAAGTTACTCAACTTGAGCACACAATTTTGAGTCCACATGGGGGTTACGACCCTTTTTATTTGAGGATCTTGTTGGCGTGACTTTGCCGATTTATGTAGTTGATAGTCATTTTGTTTGCTTCTGTTATATTAAAAAAATGTTTATTAATTATTGTAATGGTGAGTTGTTATTGCTGAAAATTATGGAATTTCCGACTACATGAAATTGATCTTAAATAAAGTCGAAAGTAAAAAGTGATTGGAAATAGCAACAAAGGTTTTTCCGGATACCAAAAATGGTCAGAACAAGACTTTCGACTTGATTTAAAATCACTTTCAAGTGGTCGAAAATTTCATAATTTCCAGCAGTGTGTTATTCTATCTTAAATTAGAGTTTTTAGGCAGCACTTTGGAGCTTAAAAAAAAATATTTGTAAACATTAATGATTAATTCAACATCAATAATTTAAATTAATAATGCTATATACATATTAGATTTAAATTAGATTTCTTAATATTTGTAAATAAATAATTTTGATTAAGATTTAGTTGGGTAACTAATGAAACATATAATACAACTTCAACAATAATTATATGCATTTATTTTTCAAAAAAAAAAAAAAAAGAAGAAGAAGAAGAAGAAGAACACCATATATATAAAGAAGGAATAAACCATGCATGTTTTATGGAAATACAAGTTTTTAATTTATTTGTGTCATTTTTATTGGTTACATTGTAAGATATATTATTAAAAATATTATTTTATTCTTCCAAAACTAAACATGAACCACAGAGGCTAGACTGGTGCTCACTGCGCACAAGGATCCCCAGAGCCCCCTCACTGCTGGTGAGACTTGATCCCTAGTCATTCTTCTAAAGTTTTAGCTTTATGACCAGTTGAGCTACTCATGCAAGCAAAAATATTATTTTATTTTATAAACAAACTACGTACATATGAATAAAAACGTGGGAGACAAAGTTCACTATTGAGTGACCCTTTTAGTCTTGAAGAACAAAGCCATATCACGATTTACCAATATTATTAAAATTGTTCTCACCAGCGGCAGTGTGGGAGCAACCTCTCAAAGTGAGGGGGGCTCCTTGTGCGCAGTGAGCACCGGTCTAGCCTCTATGGTTCATGTTCAGTTGAGTTACCATGATTTACATCCTCCCAAAATGCTCTGTCGGGCCGGGGTGTGGGGACCCTTAAGGTTGGGGTTCAGCCTTTTGGAATAATATTATTAAAATTGTCACTAATATAAAGTTGCAATTTTTTTTTTTTTAAAAGGCTTCTGTAGATTTATTTAATTTTTTATAACCCTCCACATTAAAAAAAAAAAAAAAAAAATTAACACAGAATTTATAGCATTAAATGGAAAATAAACCATATATAACATCCATTGATTTCGACCAAAAAATAGCAGAGGAACAAACTCCTAAATTAACTTTAGTAATTTATTTTTCTAGAGAATTTAATTGAGTAAAAAGTTATTTAAATATTTGTTGAATTTTTCATTCGTTCAAATAATCACTTCAAAATGATAATGATGATTAATATTATTATTTCATTCTCAATGGTGACATCTGCCATGGATTCACCCTAATATGCAGGCAAAAAATTAAACTCTGACTAAATTGTTAGCCAAGAATTAAACACGATGTTTTCTAAGGCTGTGGACTTTTGCGAGGTATATGGATAGCCAGAGAAAAAAGAGGATTGAATGAGGCAAACAAAGCCACAAAGATGGTGGAGGAAGTTGGATCGGTAGCCAAAAGCTATATAAAATGGTGTCCTTGTAGCCATGCTAAAAACGGCAAGCTCTACTATGAGCAGATAGAAAAATAAAAAATACCCCCTCTATCTCTTCAAAAAAATAAAAAAAAATAAAAAAATAAAAAAAAATTAACTCCGGGGTAGCCATGGATGGAGCTAGCACAATCTTGGTGGTGTTTCTATTCTGTCTCTCCGGCGTGGGAGCGGAAGACCCCTATTTATATCACACTTGGAAGGTGACCTATGGCACCATTTCCCCCATGGGTGTCCCTCAACAGGGCATCCTCATCAACGGCAAATTCCCAGGTCCTACGATCAATGGCACGTCCAACAACAACGTTGTTGTTAATGTTTTCAACGAGATAGACGAGCCGTTGCTCCTTACTTGGGGTGGCATCCAGCAACGCAAGAATTCTTGGATTGATGGCACTCTGGGGACCATGTGCCCTATCATGCCTGGCACCAATTTTACTTATAAGTTCCAGGTGAAAGACCAGATCGGAAGTTACTTTTATTTCCCAACCACCGGTATGCAACGTGCCGCGGGTGGATACGGTCCCATCAATGTCCACAGCCGAGAACTCATCCCCGTCCCGTTCGACTGGCCGACCGATGAGTTCAATGTTTTCTTGAGTGATTGGTATAACAAAGGGCATAAGACATTGAAGAAGATTCTTGATAGCGGTCGGAGTATTACTAGACCTGATGGGTTAGTTATCAACGGGAAGCACGGGAAGGTGGGAGACAAACTCGACCCACTTTTCAAAATGGAACCCGGTAAGACTTATAGGTACAGGGTTTGCAATGCGGGGCTGAGGACTTCGGTGAATTTCAGGTTTCAAGGACATAATATGATAGTGGTTGAGGTGGAGGGGTCACATACTGTCCAAAACGACTATAAATCCCTTGACCTCCATGTCGGCCAGTGCCTCTCGGTTCTTGTAACGGCTAGCAAGGAGGCTAAGGACTACTACTTAGTCGCCTCCAGCAGATTCTTCAAGCAAGAATTCACCACCGTAGCTATTATCCGCATCGGCAACGGGGGTCCCGCGACCCCGGAGCTTCCACCACCCCCGCCGGCCCACAAAGAGGGTATCGCCTGGTCTATCAACCAGTTCCGCTCCTTCAGGTGGAACCTCACCGCTAGCGCCGCCCGCCCCAACCCGCAAGGCTCCTACCACTACGGCCAAATCAACATCACCCGCACCCTCAAACTCGTCAGCTCCCAGGTCAAAGACGGCGGAAAGCTCCGATACGCAATCAATGGCGTCTCCCACACCGACCCCGACACCCCATTGAAGCTCGCCGAGTACTTCGAAATGCCCGGGAGGTTATTCAAGTACGACATCATGAAGGACAACCCTCCCGACAATCTCGAAAAAGTGACCGTAGCCCCCAACGTCGTCAACGCCACGTTTCGCAACTTCGTCGAGATCATATTCGAAAACCACGAAAAAACCATCCAAACCTACCACCTCGACGGCTACTCCTTCTTCGCGGTGGGAATCGAGCCGGGAAAATGGAGCCCAGCGAAGAGAAAGAATTACAACTTAGTCGACGCTATAAGCCGGCACACCGTCCAAGTCTACCCCAACTGCTGGGCGGCCATCATGACCACTCTGGATAACGCCGGAATGTGGAACCTGAGATCGGAAATGTGGGCAAGGGCATACTTGGGACAACAATTCTATTTCTCCGTTCTTTCTCCGGAACGCTCGCTGAGAGACGAGTACGATCTCCCGGAGAAACAAGCGTTGTGTGGCATAGTCAAGGGCGCCAAAAAGCCACCTCCTTACACCATGTAAGGTGTACTGTATAGTATGTTGATTAATTCAAGAAAATGTATTGTATAGAGAGGGGTGGATAGATGGAATATAATACTAGAGCGCAGCATGACTCTAAATGGGAGTTATTAAATGAAGAAAAAAAAAAGCATATGTATATGGTTTCCTTAATATGGATCTTGCTTGACTTGATCATCATAATAATATTAATATAATTCATTCAAATTACTTGCATGTAATGGATATTCGTTGATATTTAATTATTGTATTTAAATATGTTATGAAATATATATTATATATAGAATATAGATATAGATTGAATACCGTTTTAATATATTGTTGCATATATAGTATCTATTTGTTTTAATCTTGTAAATTTTATAGTTATTTTAAATGTGATATTTGGATGCTTTGAACCCAAATGAATAATAAGAAAATCTGAAAATGAGTTCTACTACATAGACTCTTTGAGGTAGCAATTCAGGATTGGTTATTTTCATCATGTGGGTCCACATAAAATATCTACATCAAGAGCATGTGAGAGGGAGTATAAGTTGGGAGTTTAAAACGGGAGTACACCGAGTATTTTCCTAAGAAAATACAACTAGCCAAAAGACTATTCTGAGTGAGAATTTTGACTTTGTGTGTATAAAAAAGTTGATCACTAATTAATAAATGTTATAATAATTAAACACATTAAAAAAAAAAAAAAACTATACCAATGTTTATGCTCAAATAAATAAATAAATAAATCAATAGTATTTTTATATAAACATATAGGTGCCAAAGCTTGTCACATGATTGAACTATTTTGAAATGCAATAGTTAGCTAAATTAGCTATTTGGTATAATTTATTTTATCAAATAAGGTCATAGTCAATCTTAGATCTAAAGATGCCACATATTGCTATTAGCTATTCTTTGTTCATATTGTTGTTATAGAAAATCATATATCTACTCCTATGAAGTATAACTCCCACCACGCCACGTGTAAAAAATAAAATAGAATAAAAAAACAATCAAAGGATAACACCACAACATAAAGTAAAAAAATTAGAATAGAGTGATTTGAAGCATGTGCTCCATTTCAACTAAAAGTTGATAGTTAGAATGCACATTAATGACTATATGCTCAACACGGCTCCTCACGTATGCGGTGGGTTCCAGGGTTCTAAGCAACATGTGAATCATAACCCAAGACCTTTGGCATGACTCTAATACCAAATTGAAGCATGTGTTCCATCTCAACTAAAAGCCTAATAGTTGGATTGCACATTAATGGCTATATGCTCAACAGAGTGTGAGTACTTGTAATATTGCTCTTTTGTTCTAGCGCTCGAGTAAATACTTTAGCCCTTGGTAAAATAGTCAACATATAAGTCAATTTTAGCTTATTTGACCACTATTAACTTTTTGATTTGGTTAAAAAATTAATATAAGTGTTTGGTTAATTAGCTTTTTGTAACTCAAAAATGCTAAAATTCAAAAAATTGTTCAAAACAACTTTTTCAATTAGCTTTTTGAAAATGAAAATTAGACAAAATAGGTATAAGCTAATAGGCTTTCAAAAAAAAGGTATAAGATAATAGATAATTTATCAAACACTTTTCTACAATCAATTAATGTTATCAACTAATTATACCCTATAATTAACTCAATCAGCTAACCCCATTTACCTATTTTTCATTGACTTTGCTTGAGAGATTTAATGTAAGATTGCGACTCATAGCCGGAGTGAAAGGGCTTTAGCTGAATTTAGCCGCCGGCGAGATTTAATGTAAGATTGCGACTCATAACCGGAGTGAAAGGGCTTTAGCTGAATTTAGCCGCCGGCGATTCTGACATTATTTCAACATTTGCAGGTCAATTATATTTTTTAAATATATCTTTCCCACATCAAATAATTTTTAATTGACTTTGCTTGAGAGATTTAATGTAAGATTGCGACTCTTCACTGGAGTAGTGAAAGTGCTTTAGCTGAATTTAGCCGCCGGCGATTCGTAGATATTCTTCGTCCCTGCTCATTTCTGATTCTTCGAGAACATCGAAATCCATGGCGTTTTGGTGGCCGCTCCTCGTCATCGCCTTCGCATTCGCGATCTGCCGGTTCCTCCTTATGCTCATTCCCCCTAACGTTCCCTCTATCGACGTCGACGCCTCCGATGGTCTCTCTCTTTCTCTCTCTGTACTATATAGTTCGTAATGCATGCGGGTGTGTTATGAGCTTGAAATTTCTTTCGTATTGAACCATTGCAGTGTTGGATGATGGGAATCATACGAAGGAGCATAGCTTCATATATGTAAGTAGTATAATGCTTTGTAAATAGAGTCAAATTTGTGAAGCTGCATCTTTCTGTGAGTTAATTTTAGTTATGTGTACTTTTCTTCTGCTTCTGGTGGTCTGGTACTCTGGTTATTTAAGTTCCTTTCCAAATTTGTTTTATAATTAATAGTTGATCTGATTGAAGTGCCGAACAACACTAGTAGAGCTTTGAATGGTTTAAATTGGTTATTGATTTGAAGAGCTATATGAAAAATCAAAGAGAGAGTTAGGCAGATATGGGATTATGGAAGTTTTTCTGTTATAAGATTTCAGTCATTCAAGTTGAACAATACTGAAAGAGTACAGATGCTCCTCATTCCTTTTCACTCCTTTAACTCTTTCTTCTGCACAATAAATATAGGCTTGTTATTATATTCTAGAAAAGCAAATTGAATGTTAAGACTTTTGTATTTTCCTTGTTTTTCTGTTTCTTAATGCTCTTCCTAATCCTTATCCTTCATATGTAACTTAGCAATATTTGGAAGTAAAATAATACACTTTTTAGACACAAATTCTTACTTTAAATGTTATCCTTATGTAGATACCTTCAAGAAGACAAACAGACAAAGTCCAGTGCTATGAGCCAGCAACAATGAAATACCTAGGGTTCATTCCAGCACTCAAGCCTGATGAGGTTTGGAATTCTTTATATTATGTACTTATAGATAGATTTCTATTTCTCATAAATACTTTGTCTGATATCATGCTTAGTTGTTTTTTATGTCTTCCTAATCTCCTTTTATAATTTTCTAGAGTCTAATCATCATATTTGCTTAAAGGAACTGAGCTAATTCTTTATGTAACAACTGGAACATGAACACCAATAACCTTAATTGTTGGGCTCTGTAACTCGCAAGATGCTTCAAGTGAGTGCAACTGATAACTGCACTTCACTATATGCTCAGGTTAAGGAACGTGTAGCAGAGGCAAGGAGGGCTCAAAAGATATGGGCAAAGAGTAGCTTCAAGCAAAGACGGCAGTTTCTGCGCATACTACTGAAGTATATAATTGAACATCAAGAGCTTATATGCAAGTAAGGAGATCCTAACTGACCATATAAATATGCTTAATAAGAATAATTTCTCCCAAGAGCATGATAATATGATTGAAATGTTGAAAATTTTAAGAATATTTGTGAAATAAGTGGTAAAGAAAAAAGATGAGAAAAAAAATTAGTACACACAGATGAAACTTGCAAAAATGTTGGTAACCCCAACCAGGCATTCTTGAGATGCTCAGCAACAAACTCCAGCAACTGTGTGCTGTTAATTTAAAAGTTTGATTATTTCATGTATTTTTCCTGATCGAAGTGATCCCACTGTAAAAAATGAGAGTGGCATAGGAATGTCATACGTTTTTTAAAAATTACTAGTATGCTGCTTGACACAGAATTACTGTATAGTATGCAACTTTGCATTAAGGATTATGCACTGGATGCTTTTTGACTGTTTGATGCACCAAGTTATTTGCTTAAACTCCGAACCTTGTCAGTTCTACTTATATTGAGTTATTATTTGAGTTTCGGTGTTGTTCTAATTTACTGCTATTTGCATCAGAATTTCCTCACGTGATACTGGAAAGACAATGGTTGACGCTTCTTTGGGAGAAATAATGACAACTTGTGAAAAAATCACTTGGCTTCTTTCAGAGGGTGAAAAATGGTTAAAGCCTGAGTACCGGTATGCTTATTGGTGCATTCAGCAATTCAATAATTCAGTTGTTTTCACCCAATTTAATAAGTTACTACTATTAAGTTTTCTTGACTCAACAAAGCATCGGCTTGAACAATTTACAGAAGTTTAGAAAGTCCAGCTGTCACACAAACATTTTTTGACATTCCAATATCCAATTTAGTTTCTAATTGGCACACTTCATTGCCTACATCCAAAATGAAACTATTCTAGGTGTAGGACTTGTTTGTGTTACATTTATTGTCTCTTTTCAATTCATTTCCCAAACTTTTGGTCTCGTCAAGCAATGAGCAATTTAATGTTCCTTTCTCTACTCCTAATAACTGATACCTGAATACTTTTAAGTTGTGACGTAATTTTTCAGGGGTTCTGTTTAAAAATGGCCTGTATCAAGTGCAGACAAGAGTTTTGACATTATGCACCACCACTACTCTATTTCTACTATTAAAATTTTAAGTGCCAGCCATGATTTATTGTTTACTTTTAAGTAATTCTTGACTAGCAGGGTAAGAGGCATGTAAGCGTTTGTACTTTATGGTTTGCAGTTCAAGTGGAAGATCAACGCTTCACAAGATAGCCAAAGTGGAATTCCACCCCCTTGGTGTTATTGGTGCAATTGTTTCATGGAATTATCCATTTCACAATATATTCAATCCAATGTTGGCTGCAGTCTTCTCAGGGAACAGCATTGTGATTAAGGTACTAAGTATTTCATCTTTGAATAATCTTCATTGAAAAGTTACTTTTTCTTAGGTTTTTTTTTTTTTTTTTTTTTTTTTTTTTTTTTTTTTTTTTTTTTGGCACACATCATGCATAATTTTGGTACTTAATTCTCCATCTGACAAAATATTTATAATAGGTCTCTGAACATGCTAGTTGGTCTGGATGCTTCTATTTACGAATAATTCAAACAGCTCTTGCTGCAGTTGGAGCTCCTGAGAACTTGGTTGAAATAACAACAGGGTACACATTTATTTGATTACAAGGCTTCTCTTAGATTTTGTTGATCTATCCAACAGCTATTCAACCTTTTTGAATCAGCTTTGCTGAAACTGGAGAAGCACTAGTGTCTTCTGTTGACAAAGTAATATTTGTTGGATCACCAGGTGTGGGCAGATCGGTAGGGTCCTTTTCCAGGCTAGATAAATATTCATATGATTTATTTATTTTTATCTGGATTTATTTTATTTGGATATCTAATTCCACTAACTCATTGAGGGGATGGGAGAGTTGCAATTGTGCACTTAGTGTTTTGGTGTTAAAACATGCAGATTATGAGGAATGCAGCAGATAGACTAATACCAGTTACATTGGAGCTTGGTGGAAAAGATTCATTCATTGTCTGTGAAGATGTAGATGTGCCTCATGTATGAATTTCTACTGCTTGCTTTAGTGCTTAGTGTTTTCTGATTTAACAAGATCCCTGTACTCATGCATTTGCTAGATGATCATTTATTTAGAACTTAGAAGTAATTAAGCTTAATACAGGTTGCACAATTGGCTGCTAGGGGAGCTTTACAATCAAGTGGGCAGAACTGTGCTGGGGCAGAACGTTTTTACGTACACAAGGATATATATTCCTCTTTTGTTGCTGAAGTTGTTAAAATTGTCAAATCTGTTACTGCTGTAAGTTTGTTTCTCAAATAATATACATAAGATTCATCTTTCTCACAGGTTCAAGTATTCAACTAAGTTTGAGTTCATTAAATTTGATTAATCAACTTTCTTATCTTTCTCTCTTTTTGTCCCTATAAAAAACGTTAGTTTTGATTAACGATAAACTTCTGCAGGGTCCTCCTCTGGTTGGAAAGTATGACATGGGAGCAATATGCATGCAAGAGCATTCTGAAAAGCTTCAAAATCTAGTTAATGATGCCCTAGACAAAGGAGCTGAAATTGTTGGTAGAGGAAGTGTCGGAAATATTGGTGAAGGTGCTGTTGATCAGTACTTCCCTCCGACTGTGATTGTTAATGTAAACCACACCATGAAACTGATGCAGGAGGAGGTATATACTACTTTGATTATTGTCCGTTTAACTTACCATGGAGATAAATCTTGATGGTTGTTTCACATGACTGTTCTTCTGTAGGCTTTTGGACCAATCTTGCCAATAATGAAATTCAGCTCTGATGAAGAAGTTATTGAGCTTGCAAATGATTCTAAGTATGGGCTTGGTTGTTCAGTGTTTTCGGGAAGCCAGCTTCGTGCTAAACAAATAGCATCACAGATACATTGTGGAATGGCTGCTATCAATGACTTTGCTTCATCTTACATGTGTCAGGTAAATGCTATGAGCACTTATTATCAGCCTGTGAACTTTGCTTGATTGAGTTTCCAGCACATAATTGGCTGGTTTTTTTTTTTAATGCAGTCATTACCATTTGGAGGTGTAAAAGACAGTGGGTTTGGGAGATTTGCTGGTATTGAAGGGTTGCGAGCTTGCTGCCTGGTGAAATCAGTGGTGGAAGATCGATGGTGGCCTTTGATCAAAACTAAGATACCGAAACCTATACAGGTGAGCTAATTGACCTTTTGAATTTGAACGTGCATGCGCATTAAATTTGTAACCAATATTAATTTAGCAGTGTCTGTCTTCTGCACAGTATCCTGTGGCAGAGAACGGCTTTGAGTGTCTAGAGTCCATCGTTGAGGCTCTCTACAGCTTAAACATTTGGGATCGGTTAAGGGCGCTAGTGAATGTTGTGAAGTTTATTACAGAACAGAACTCTTCAACAAGCAATCAAAAGAAGAAATGACTGAGACCCAGCAACCACTTGAAGCTAAGAATTGGTGTCCTGGACTACTCTGAATTCTGAATTCTGTGACTAGAATTTTCATCATCAAGGTTCTTACTCATGTTGGATTGTAGACAACCATCCTAATACACTGTTTCTCTGCATTTTTCTGATGCTTTACTCGTAATGTGTTACATAATTAAAACGGAGTAATTTGTTCTTCCTGAAACTAAATCCGGGTAAAGAAACACGCCAGTTCAGCTGTATAGAGGTGAGTGACGCACAGGCAGTCTCCCCAGTGACCCGAGTATGTTGCTCTACACTCGCCTCATTGTTGCTTGTGATAGAATTCAATAATTTTATTACATAGATAGCAGTTTTTAAAAAATATCCTAAGACTCCTCTGTATGCCTAATTGTTATACTATGGATTGGTGTTCATATTGCATTGTGAATCATGATTAAAAAAATTATATATCCGTATTAACATATTCTGTACTTGACAAACTATAGACACAAAAATTGTTAACTACAAGTATAGAATATGTTAATTGCAGACACATAAAATGTTGGTTAAAATGTTATGTGTCTGCAGTTAATATATTCATAACAATTTATGTGTTTGTAGTCATCATATGGTGTGCCATTCAATTTGTCTACCGATACAGAAACAGTTAATTGCAAGTATATAATGTGTCAAATGATAAATATAGAATTTGAATATTATTTTTAGATCAGAGTCCACAATGTAAGGTAAATTGTGATTCAAGGTATAATTTGTCAAGTACGCCCCTCTCTAGAGAGTTTGTTTAAAGAGGGTATTAGATCCTCTAATTTAGTAGGCAAGTGGATTTGGTTAGTTATCCAAACTTGAATGGAGATTTGTTGCACCATGTTTATGTACACAAGTAAATGCTTTCAACATAGCTACAGTGGTCCCCACTTGTACAATCTTCGTCCTGCAAGCATTCTATTTTGCACATTTTCCTTAAAACATCGATGATATCATGAGAGGCCAAGCAAAGCATCATCTTTCTTACCGGTATCCCCAAATTAAAATCCATCTTAATTATTAGTAAGCTTCAAATATGACGTCATAACCAGATGTAGGAAACAAATTAATCACAGAAAAGGAGAGAGAGAATTGTTTTTTTTTTATTAAAAAAAAAAAAGCAATATAAGGGTTAAAATTAAAAAAATTTCCCCTATACCAAAAAAAATAAAAAATAATAAGGGTTAAAATCGCATCCCCAAAATGATTATTTTGGAGAGCGTGTGATCGTGGTACCCGTAAGATTTGCAGCGCCAACATTCTGCAATCTGCATTCCATCATAATATTCCACGTGGCATTTCCCTTAACGCTTCCCCTGGTCCCCGCAACTGACGCCGCACGTCCTTATTCCATCCTATAAGTAAGGCATGGAATGGAATTATAAAAGAACCGAAATATATTTCATATGCTCCAAATAATTACACAATTTTATTTTTTTTGGTAGAAATAATTACACAATTTTAAATAACAATTACAAATTTTTCTCTTATCACTCAAAAAATTATTTTTAAAAATTCATAATTTGAAAAGATTATTTGTGCATAGAAAAAGGGTTTGTTTGGCGGTGATATGATAGATTAGAAAAGGGAATCAGAAGGCAGGAAGAGATTTTGAAAGGGTTCTGATTTTTCTTTTTTTTTTTGTCTTTTTTATTCAAGGAAAGAGAAACGGATAGTGGAAATCGAGGGGCTAGGAGTTGACACGTGTACATGATGAGCTAAAGGAGCCAATCCGTCCGTCCCTTACTATTCAATATTCATTCTATACAAGTTTGGACCCACTCTCGCCATCTTCGCGCTGTCCGTTATCAGGTGCTCCCGGTGCGTTCGCCTGGAGGTCAGTCGGAGCTGGACCCTTCTTTTCCCGCGTAAAAAAACGTACTCTCCGTCGACGACGGTTGGCGGCGGCGTTTCACCGGAACGCCACTCGTGTCCTTTTACGCTGCACTCTTGAGCTAGCAGTAGGTTTACTTCCTCTTCGTATCTTTCCTTGTTTTGTGTTCAATGGCTTGTGGTGTGGATAATTTTGGCGTTAACTTACGTCGTTTTGGTTCCTGTTTTCTGCGGTTTTAGGCGATTTTCTGTGTTTTCCGTCTGTTTATGTTGCGGTTGTGGATTTTGTTGATGGTTTTGCTTTGCGAGGATGTTCCGTAGCCTTGTAAACGCGAGATTTTTAGGTCTCTGTTTTTTCCGGTCAGTGGTTGCTTGATTTTTTACGGTGTGAATTTCTCCGTATTTTATGTCGGATATTTGCTTAGATTCTGCAAATGCAATTGTTTTTAGGATAAGTGTTTACTGATGTTGGCTGGAGATGTGTTTCAATGGAGTTTATGAGTTGCAGAAGGTGTGGTTAGTGTTCAGTTTGTTGTTTTGCGGTGTACGGAGGAGTATGTCAGGATCCTCAAAAAGTGAGGATCAGAGGATGAGCATGAAGGAGCTAGACTGCAAACTCTCCCTGCTCTGCCTGCTGCATCTGAACGGCCTCCAGTGCGGCAGTGCCAGAAGAGACTGAGGTGGGAGTGTGGGAGTCCCACACTCATTACTACCTACAGTGAATCTCTCGGGTGAGACTAATCCAGACGAGTCTTCAAGGGATTAACTATTTTAATCCTGAAAATTGAGAATATGCATTCTATCCCTTCCCATTCCCCTCCCTATAGCCTGGTTTCAACTTTTAGAATTGGACCCACCATCTAGTTCCAACTCCAGTAAGGGAAATCAGGATTACCAAACCTTATTTCACTAGCCAAACAAAATATAATATATTCTTCTTGTAAGACTTGATATACAACTTAAGCAATCCAATCATGATGAAAATGCTGAATGGGTTAGATATATAGCTGCATTTCAAGCTATTTACTCACATATTGCAGTTTAATATATGTTAAACAATCTGTTTTTGGTAGTTTACGGAGGGTATATCTCAGATTCTCAGCCATAAAACTAGGCCATGTCAATTTGGCATGTATTAGTGCTACAACTGAGGCTTATGGTGTGGAAGAATTACTATTCTGGGATTGGGTGGGATGAATTTTGATTGAGAGAAATTAGCAGCATGGCAAGAAATCTGTCTTAGTTATAGGCTTTATGCATTCTGTAAAATAAATAGGCTACAGTGGTCTATTGGTAAGAAAAACTACAAGATTGATATCCACTGTAAAGAAGCCTAAACATCTTCTTGCTGTTGCTTTGTTATCACAGGTTATACGAAACTCATTTGGAGAACTACTTCTTGACTGCAATGTCTGTCATAAGCCATCGTTATATTCTCCTCTTTGGCATCTCTTTGGTTATCATCATTACAATATGTAGTTTTGGACTTCAATGGAGGGAGACAGGTACCTAGCTGAAAAATAGACTTCATTATTTTACATATAATATATATGCATCTTTTGACATCTCAAGCTCCTTTTACAAACCTTCTTTTGCAGGGAAGTTTTTGCACAAACCCCAGGGAGATATAAACAACAGAACCGCAAATGTTAAACTTGATAAGGCATATAAAAGCCACAGAAAAATTCTAGTACATGGTAAAAATCTGTTTATTTCACTGATATTTGCTATCCAATTTTCAGAGTAAATCTTTGATATGCTGAAAATATTAATTTTCCTAAATTGGTTACAGTATTTGCATTTTTTTTTTTATTAGGCACTTGCACGATCAAGGATATAAGCATTTCACAGAGCACATATTCAACAAATGGGATTCCACAGTTTGTAGTTGAGATAGTTAACACGTGTTTTTCCGGTTGTGCTCCTTCCAATATTCACCTCCACTGTGATTGGTTTGCCTCTGCAAGAATAGTAAGTCCAAATACATTTAAGAGGCTGTCTTATGATGACTGCTTGGTTAATGAAGGGAAGCCTTTGAAGACCAGCCAGATGATCAGATTCACCTACTCAAACACGTTTAAATACCCTCTCGCCTTCAAGTCTGCCATGTTTTGCTGATTGATTGAATTTCACCATGAAACTCATAGGTAGAGTTCTAACATCCAAGTAGGATAGTTCAATTTTGGTGTCAAGTTGCAACAATACTCCCTTTTGGTCTTTTGGGATGACACAACTGATGCTGAGGTTATTGTCAAACCCCAAATACTTGCACCCGAGGTGGAGCGACTACTTAAAAGTTTCTCCAAATTCTCACTTTTGCTGATAAATCTAGCTGTGGATGCCTTAGGTAAGTGAACCTTCCTATATGTCTGGACTTGATGGAACCTTAGACTCTTAGAGTCAAAAGCTGTTATATAGAATACTACTAGTGCAAGGTGGGCATGCCAGTGTTTCATTTTTGTAGACTAGAAAGTATGTGCTCATTATCATGCATAGTGTTTTTTTGTGGCATTTCTTTCTCTCCAACAATTTTACATGATGTGAGGAAAGAAAATGAACAATGAAGCTTTTGTTGCTCACTTCCATTTGGAATTGAAAATTTGCTTTGCACTGTTGATAAATCACAGCCAGATTGCTTATTTGAGGATAAAATTTTGAATCAGGCCTTATATTAAATAATACCAATACCCCTCTGATCCCTTTAGATAGTTGGTACAAGATTGCAGCCTCACATGACACATGATTTAAATTTTAAACAAAAAATTATATAATTTCAAGAAAAACTTCATTTTTTTTTGGATATATCAACCGGTGTCACCATACTGTGTGAAATCAATTTGAATTCAGTTTGTATGGTCTTACAGAGTTTGATTGTATCGATTTAGCACTTCATTGAATTCATAAACCAAAATATTTTAGTGATTAGTTAAATGAGAGCCTCATTGCATTGAAGATTCCAACTTGCTTTTGGTAGCATAATGACAACTTTCACATGATTAAAAATAGAACAAATCATAAAAGATACTATCATGTTTGTCATTTTCCTAGGACTATTATTCTTTCCCTGGGCAGCAGCATCTTCACCCTCTTGCTTAATCCTTAACCTCTCCACCAACAACCAACATTTTCATCTCATTCCTGGTATCAACAAACCATGTCTAAAACCCTCCTCACTCTTGCCTCTCACTCTCTCTTCCCCCTTCTTGCCCTCCCTGCTCTCTTCTGGGCTCTCAACAGGCACAAGCCCAGGCAAACCAAGCTTGTGTTCTATGTCCATGATTACCTCTCTGGTGAAAACACATCAGCAATCTCAGTGGCAGGAAGGGATGGGCCCAAAACCAGTGTCCTCCAATTTGGGACCATAACTGCAGTGGATGATCCAGTTACAGAGGGCCCAGATCCAAAGTCCAAGGAGATTGGTAGGGCCCAAGGCCTTTACATAAACTCTCAGCTGGATGGGAAAGGTCTGCACTTAGTTTTCTCAGTGATCTTCACAGAAGGGGAGTATAAAGGCAGCAGCTTGGAGATTCAAGGGGCAGATATTTTTAACATGAAGGAGAGAGAGTTTTCTGTGGTCTCAGGGACTGGGTTTTTTAGGTTTGTGAAGGGGTTTGGGATTATGACCACTGAGTTCATGGACATACCTAACTTGAAAGCTATTCTCAAGCTTGATATCACAGTCAGGCATTACTAATAAATGGTATATGTAATATGTGGCATCTCATCATCTTTAGTTTGCTTCATCTTTTATAGTTCTAATGTTGTAATCAAAGAGTTATTTTGTAATGTCTGATGTTTGGTCCATTCCACTTAGTTCCACTGTCCTACCTCAATGCATGCTAGCTACCTAAGCCACTACTGATTTTAGGCAAAATCTCCAAGTATTCATGTGATTGGTCAGGATTTTTTTTATAAATATTACACTTTCTCTTATTATAATTTTTTCATAAATAACTCTTCAACGTCTAATATTACATTTTTCATTAAAAATATCACATTTTTTCTCATAAGTATTACACTTTCTCTCATAAGTACCAATCAATCAATTTATCTCTGATTAGTATTACATTTTTTGTTTCATATGTTAGTGTTCAAGATCAACTCCTAAATATTACCTTTTAATTTAAAAGTGTTACATTTTTTCTCAAGAGTATTACATTTTCACTTATAAGTAACATATATTTCTAGTTAGTATTACATTTTTCATCATAAGTACTCGGTATTGCATTTTCATTTTACTTCGACCTGTTACACGATATGAGATGGTCTTAAAGAATACTCCCACTAATTTTAAGATTTGACTTAAACTCGAGATCACTCACACATCCTTACCCTAAAGTCATAATACTACAAATTAGCACAATGCAACTACCAATGAGACATGGTATTAACATTATTTTGATTTGATCAATTAACTGAAATGTTCCATGACACCGATGTTATAACCCATTTTAGATTGTATGAGATGAATTGATGAAACAATGGTCAAGGCTGTACCAAGATTGCAGTATGTGACAACTGGAGATTAGATTGCTATTATGCCCATGATATGATTGTTTGAATTTATGCCCATTATATTAATTAGTCATTTATGAATTGTTTGATTCTGCAAAAAAAAATTAATCAAATGAAATTGTATGAATATGTACAAATCTAAGTGCAAAACTTTTTTCTTTTTTTTTTTTTTTTTTTTGAAAAGAAGTGCAAAACTTTTTATGCATTTAATTAGCATTGTCATTGTCTTAATTGCGTCAATTTTCATTTTATACAAAGTATTATGGTATATTAAGGATAAATAAGATAAAAATTATAATAATGATAATAATAAGTTGTTGGTCCTTTGTCTCATTATATATTGCGATTGGTTCGCTCTTCACATTATGTAAATGTGAGAATTTTATACTGTCATTATCATAGCATACAAAAAATAAAGAAAAAAACAGGAATATGAAATTATTAGTTGAAGTCCAAGCTACAAGTCTGTAGTCAAGAGTGGAATGCCGCATACCTATCACTAACCAAAAAAAACAACAAAAAAAGTGTATTATATTATATTATTCAAACTTTATTATATATTTAAAAATTGACGGCTGGCCAGGGAATCTGTTAAATGATATATTCAATTTACCATAAGCTTAGCGTACCAGGGATGAATTGAACTAATATATTGAATTAAACAGCACTCTATATAATTGAGTATACTACCAGACAACTCAACCAAGTTGATCGGACAATTGATTTGATAATAACAACGTTCTAAGTTCAATTTTCTGTAAGAACTGTTTATTGATCTTCTCGATTTGTGTTTATCAGTTATCGACAACCTAGACGGATTGATCACAAAGCGAGCTTCACCTTTAGAGTATAACTTCGAGTAGCAACTAGTGCTACACATGCATAAGAAATGAAAATATATTTGACATAAGAATTTGTGAGACGAACTCTAGAGTCAAGAACGGTATTTTTTTGAAATTTTTTTTAGTCCTTTTCAAATCTTGTTTTAAGAGTTCTTAAGAAAATTTAAATTCGTTATAAGGGTGAGAAGTGTCCTAAAGTCACTTAACACACAGTATTTTTTTTTTTTTTTTGGTAGAGTTAACACACAGTATTTAGTTAAATGATTGTTTATGGAAAACTTAGTCTACATTCATGTAATTTATTTATGTTGTAGGTTTTCTACTGTATTAAAAAAAATGACGCGAGGATTTTTTTATTTTATTCGTTTTATTGTTTATTTGTTTATATAAGTATTATTATGGATGATGATGTTTTGTCATAGCATATTAGCCCACTAGTCAATATGATTAAGCAAGAAGATAATAAACAAATATTGCACGGCGCACCACACTTGGCCTCAAAAATAATTTTTAGTGCCTCGAAAGAGTGACAGATTGTGTAGATCATAATTCTCGTACAAAAAGTTATGAGTTTGATTTTTATTAATATTTTATTAGTCGAGTTTGTCGTACATATTTTTTTAAGAACAAATTGCACTTTTGGTCCTGTGAGTAGTATGGTACTGGCAATTTGAGTACGTGACTTTCAAAAATCCCAATTTAAACCTTTAACTATGCAAAAATTGACAGATTTGGTCCTCCGGGCCAAATTGCCGGCCAATTTTGACCGAAAAAACATAAAGTGGTTCGAATTTATTTGTGTTGAGGGCAAAATCGTCATTTCACTCCCTTCTTCTTCATTCTCCCTCTCTTCTTCTTCTTCTTTCTTCTTCTTCTTCTTCTTTCTTTCTTCTTTCCTCGTCCTCGCACCACCTCTGCTCCTCCTCCACCCTCTTCACGGCCTCCCCCAACCACCCACCGCCGACGCACCGGAACTCCCTCGCCGCAAGCACGCGCCGGAAGGGGACGAGCCATCAAACAACCACGTCGGGGAGTGAAACGAACAAGCCCAGCACTAGCTCGCCGCCGGAGAAGCAAGAAAGCAGCCGTGATGAGAAGGGCGGTGTTTTTTACGATGAATTTGGAGTGTCGAACATGGCAATGGACGAAAACGCCCCGGAGGAGGAGGACGATTTCTTTGAGGGAATGGCGGAGCTGGGCGAGTCGCTGAAATTGGACGACGCCGGAGATTCCTTCTCCGATAACTTTCAGGACGCCATGCAGTTCCAATGTTGGCTTCCGAACAATGCCAATCGTGCAGGGGATCATGCCGGCGCACGTGATGGCCGACGTCCATCACGTGAGGATCGACACGGAGCAGAGGTTCGATCGGTTGGACAATTCGTTCAAGCGGATCGAGCAGCAGCTTGGCGCCATGAAAATCGGCTTGGACGAGGACGGCGGCGGCGGGTGGTTGGGGGAGGCCGTGAAGAGGGTGGAGGAGGAGCAGAGGTGGTGCGAGGACGAGGAAAGAAGAAAGAAAGAAGAAGAAGAAGAAAGAAGAAGAAGAAGAGAGGGAGAATGAAGAAGAAGGGAGTGAAATGACGATTTTGCTCTCAACACAAATAAATTTGAACCACTTTATGTTTTTCCGGCCAAAATTGGTCGGCAATTTGGCCCGGAGGATCAAATCTGCCAATTTTTGCATAGTTAAAGGTTTAAATTGGGATTTTTGAAAGTCACGTACTCAAATTGCCAGTACCATACTACTCACAGGACCAAAAGTGCAATTTGTTCTTTTTTTAATGCAATTTATCTCTCATGTGTGATTTACGAATTATTATATAAGAGCAATTTTTTCAGTGCAAATTCTTAAGTAATGATTGTGAATCTTTCTCTTACGAAAAATATAATTCGAGAAACATTTGAACTCTCAATTAGTATTTATCACTCCACAAATTGTTAGACTGAGATATAAAAACGTCTGGATGAACAATTCTATCTTTTTGTCAAAATAAATAAATAAATTAAGAGTCTCACATCTACACCTTAATTTCCATGCACATCATGTTTTGTCACCCAAAAAAAAAAAAAAAAGTGCACATCATGTTTGACCATTGGATACTATTGGCTGGCTGTATGCATGTATGTACCCATAAATAGATAAATAAATAAAATGGATTTTGGCTGCAGCCTCCACTAGACTATCAATCACTCTTCGTTTATTAGCAATATTTTTTAAACACTCATAATTCTTAACTAGTAATATAATTTTCCTTTCTTTAATGATTTTAGGGGGGATTCATTTTATCAAATATAATATTAGCACTCTAACTCGATCTTTTAGTTTTTTTTTTTTTTTTTTTTTTTTTTTTTTTTTTTTTGTTAAGAAACAATTTTGAATAATGTATTTTAATATTGCTATAAAAATGTATTTAATTCTTGACTTGCACCTCAACAGAGGTTCAAATTTAGATAGTCATGATTGTCTTAGACAGCTATGACTGAAAGATGGGTTATTATAATTTATTACAAGAAAATTATACTGCATACAAGATTAAATTTTTATTTTTAATTTTTTTAAAAAAAATGTATAATTAAAATTCATTTAACCATCTAACCGCCAGGACTATATGGTCTAATGGTATCCGGGTTGGACTTCCATTTGGAAGATTATGAGTTCAAGCCTCAGTAGAGGCGTTATTGGTTCTTTGTGTTTCAGTAGGTTGAGAAAGACAGATACTGGTTCTTTGTGTTTCAGTAGGTTGAGAAAGTATATAAACAGATACTATAATGTAATAGAGCCAGTAACTTTCAAAAAAAAAAAAAACCATCTAAACACCAAGTCTTAGCTTAGCCAATGTCATATTAACGTACGGTCACTTATTGAATATGTAATAATAAGATACTTATAATATGTCATATACTAAACTTATTTAATTTGCTCAGCTCATGACATTGGTTTAATAGATGAGAAACATCACTTAAGATGAGTGTATATATATATATATATATATATATATATATATATATATATATTTGTACTATTTTTACTGAAAGAACAGTCGTGAATTTTCAGTCATAATGATGAGTATTGTGGATGGACCATAAAACTTAACAATAAGTCGTTGAACATGTTTTGTTAACCAAATGAATAATGTATAGATCGGTACTTGCTTGCCAACCAGTTGTTAGGAAGTCCCCACGCCATATTTCTTCCCTGTCATTTTCCATTTTCAACAATGCCTGCCATATATATTTCTTGCCCATTATTATTATTATTATTATTATTATAAAAAGGGAAAATGGCACTTTTTCCCCCTGAGTTATATACCTATAGCATTTTTTCCCCCTAAATTATTAAAGTGGTTGTTTTTCCCCCTGAAATGTTAAATGGACATATTTACCCTTAAACTAAATATTTAATTTATTTTTTTCTCCAACAAATTATGACCATAATTTGGTTCAAACTAAACAAACACTATAGCAACCAAACCGAAATATTCCAATTACAATTTAGAATCGAAATTCGATATTTAGAATTTATTAAATTTGTGAACCGGAACGGACGGTTCATGTTCCGAACTGTAAAAATAAAATACATTTATTGTTGAATTTAGACTATTTTAAAATTAAAAAATAAAATTTTAAAATAAAGACGGTTTAAAACCGCGAATCAGATCCGGAACCACCGGTTCACGGTTCAAGATTCAATTTTTTTGATACATAATTTTAATAAAAATTGACATTTAAATATTGGATTCTAGATCTGAATTATAATCGTAAACTATTAATTCGATTGCTTTAGTATCCGGTTCAATTCAAATCGAACCGTAGTCATCCCTACGTATACGCAATAATTTGTTGGAGTAGTAAAATAAATAAAATGTTTACTTTAAGGGTATAAATGTCAATTTAATATATCAGGGGGGAAAAAGCACCACTTTTAGAATAATTGAGGGGGCTAATGTGCTTACCTAAATAATTGAGGGGGAAAAAGTGCTATAAGTATATAACTCAGGGGTAAAAAGTGCCATTTTCCCTTATAAAAATGTTAATCTGGATATGTAGCGTGGTTGGGTGGAAGGACTCATCCATTCTTAATTAAATGTTAAGCGTTTGATCCTTTGTTTTGGATATGGAGCAGTTGTCGGTGAAAATTTGGGGTATATCAACAAAAAAAAAATAGACTAATATTTTTTTTTGTAAATGAATAGTTTTATCTTTACTAAAATATTATCATTTTTTTTTTTTAGTATTCTAACTTTTTCCCTTTCCCAATTTTGATTAATTTGGTTATCAGTTGCTATTCTTATATTAGACTTTAAGCATATCCTGCAACCTAACTTTTCATTTCGATTCCACGTAAGTTCGCCTGACCACGACTGTACTTTAGTGTTGGTTGTTACGGGTTAGTTGCCTATCTTGGACTTTATGATAGATATATAGATAGATACAAAGTATATGCATGTCTAAAATGGATGATGAATCGAGTGAAATATGATTTTTATATAGTGTATATTATTGGGTAGTAGTTGTTGGTAATAGAGTTATATCTTATGATATGTAAAAGTACATTCAAGAAATGTGTGAATTTTAAATTGTATCATGTAAAATTACAAATTGTACCTATTTTTGAGTTGTACGTTTACATATCATAGAGTGTACAAGTTTTTAGTGTATTTTTTGTTGGTTCCGAAAGTAATAGAAAGATACAAAAGTATTTGGGGGGGGGGGGGCGGGGGGGGGAGGCGTTGATAATATACTTTCGAAATTTTTTGACTTTTTATCCTTCATATAATTTTTAAAAATTAAGAGTGTAATCAGCTTGAAAGCTGAATAGATGTGCTGCGGAAATTTTTTAAGTAAATGCAATGTTATTTTTGGGTAAAAACGTTCAAGAGTGCGCGCTCGGTGTGTGATTAACTGATTTTGCACGAATATAAAGCAAGTAAATGCAAGAGAGATTTTTAAGTGGTTCGATAACTCCACCCACATCCACTCTTTCCCTTAAACTCTAAGGAGGTTTTCACAGATCATCCACCAAGTACTGTGATTGAGTGCGATGCTATATATTTCAAGTACTATTGACTCTATACAATGTAGTATCTGTTCATTTTCTCTATCTATTGAAGTACAAAGAGTTAATACCGCCTCCACTGAGGCTCAAATCTATGACCTCCCATATGGGAGGATCACAAGGTCATTGACACTAACATTAGTAATTTAATTTAAAAAGTTTGACTAATTGTACAAATAAAAGAAAAAGTTAACTCAGATCATATAACGTAAAGTATGGATATTTATCAAATAGTTTCAAATTTAATATTTGTTAAGAGTTCTCAAGAAAAATATTAGATGACAACAATAGAAGATTGTTTCACAATCTACATAATATATCGCACCAAAACTTTTTGCTAGAACCAATAAATTTGAATGGAAGAACGTTGTCCCGATACAATATCTTTTAGTACCAAATATTTTATCAAATGACGTGAATGACATTGTGAAGAGTTACAACTAACTAACAAGTGTAATTTAATTTAAAAAGCTTGACTAATATACAAATAAAAAAAATTGCACCAAATTATACAATCATATAAAGTACATATATTTATAAAACAATTTCGAATTTAATATTTTGTAACTTTGTTAAGAGTTGTCAAGAAAAACATGAGACAACAACAATAGAAGATTGTTTCACAATCCACTTGTCCACGTGACATATCTTACCAAAACTTTTTGCTAGAACCAATAAATTCGAATGGAAGAACATTGTCCCGATACAGTACTTTTTAATACCAAATATTTTATCAAATGGCGTGAGGTAACACTTGTACTAGTTCATTATATGTATTAGTTATACATAAATTGATTAACCTCGTCACAAGTTAATTGAATAAAGTAATATTAAATAATAAAATATTTGATCTGTTTAACATTATTTGACATCAATTGGAACAATGAAACATGCAAATAAAAATATTTTATTATGGAGAAACTCCAACCAAATTTGTTAGGTAGTTGATTAATCAGTAACTACAAGGTTCCAAGTTCGACTCTAATAGAAGCAATGACATATTATTCTTTTTGACTTATCCCAAAAGGTTGAATCCCCAACTCTAAGGACTTCCCTCACACTCTGACCCGACAGAGCATGTGGAAGGATATTATTCTTTTTGACTTGAATTGATTGTTGACTAGGTTCACAATACGATAATTATCAAGTGCACATCATCAAATAATAATTTATAAAATTTTCTCTTTATCCAAAAAAAAAAATTAAAAATACTGTTAGTAATAATATACTATATATAATTTTGGAGTATAATAATTGTAATCACTATAATAAAATAAAATAGGAAAGTTGGAGATTCGAAATGGTCAAAAAAGGCTCCCGAAACATTGAGCCGCTCGTTAGAGGATGTCTGATCTGATTTGTGCATATTCTATATTGAGTCAAGCACACCTTCCTACCTCCAACTAATATACAATACTTCCTATATTTGATTTAGGAAAACTCGCTTTATAATCTTAGTCGA